AACACTGCCAACAGCCTGTAAGTATCTATCCACCAATACCTAAATTTATGGGGAAAAAGAGGAACTGACAATTTCTATTTCCTCTGGAAATAGACTTTTCTTTTTTAAAGTTGATAAAGGTCTAAAAAAAGTATTCTCACAACAGTCAAAGACGTTATAAAACGTTCTAAATGACCATACATATACAATTATATATATATGACAGTATATACCTTATAGAATGTATGTATATACATTTAAAAATGAAGCTTCCATAAATTTGTATTTTGCCAAGAAGAGGTCTCAACAAGTGGTTCTGGACTGTTTGGTAAAATGTATAGAGCTATTAAGAGTCCATTTTTGAAAAATATTTCTATTGTAGTTTCTCTTGCTCCCTTAGCCCAGGGCAGCTAGTGACAGAAATGTAACAAAACCGTTAGAAAAGCTCTACAACATTCTTACAGATATTTCCCCCTCCTTCAACTTACAGAGGCTAAACTAAGTATTCAACATCACTGGGTAAAGCCACACAACTTATTTCATCATTCCAAATTTATGCCAATAAGTCTTATATGACCATACGACAATAATTTTGCATATGCCATGTAAGTTACAAAAAACCCAACTTTAGAAGTTACATGTATTTGCAAGCAAAGAAAATGGCTTCAAAAATGTTGCTTCTCTTGAGAAACAGTGTAAATTCTTTCCTATTCTGAGCATGGACCGCACCACTTCAGAGATGCGAGGAGAAACCGAAAGAAACATAGAACAAAGTCAAACACTTCTCCTCTATACATTTTTACTTAATTTATTTCCATACAGCCCCAATTGTTTTCCTCTGTAATTAACCCTTTAAAGACTTCAAGTCCTTGCTGACATGACCTGGTCCTTGGTTTGAGCGTCAGATATGAACACAATGAAAATAAGGGGTATGTTTTACTGCCTCTGTGCTCCCTGGAGATTAGGAAAAGTCAAGAGGAAGAGAAACATGTTTTGAATCCTGTAGATGCTAAAAGGTCAAAAGCAACTGGGTAAGTGGGGAGAAAGGAGTTTACTGAAACAGTAAAGGGAAGGAGTTTGCCTCAGAAAGGAAATTCTGCCTTTATAAACAAAAAGTTCACATCAGTAACAAAATATTTCTACATTTTTCCCCTAGGATGATTTGGAAGATGACACTGTTTATCAGAACAGATGAGCATGTGCGGCAGTTCAGATTTGTTCAATATTTCTCATGCAAGCAAAGGGGCAGATGAAGAAGCTAAAGCTTCTTCACAGACTTCCTTTGTTTTAAAGAGAGAGGAGGAAACCTTGCAGGGCAGTGTTCTTCAAGAGTATTTTCTAAACTGATCACCAAAACCACATGCATTGTACCTTACATCTGTGTTATATATTACTTCCATTTTCCATTCTGCAAGAATAAGAACCGTGGGAAAAGACTTCATCTTTCATAAGATAACTGCTAATGCTTCATAAAAGTTTCCTTTTTCAGTTTAGATTTAATTCTATGTCTTTTTTTTCTTTTTACCTGAATTTACATGTATTCCTTTTACATGAATTGAGCATTTGTGAAAGATGTATGATAATTGACAGCAACAGAAAATAAACTCGTTTCATAGGTGAAATTCTGGTTTTAGTCATGTTAACGTGATAGTTATTGATCTAACAGATATACAGATCAACAGTTACTGAGTCTTAACAACAGTGTAAACAGAGCAAAACCTATGTATTCTGTATACAGGCAAGCACAAAAACCAGACTATAAATGTATGTACTATCATGGTGAAGCTCAGTTGTGATGGGAGCCTCTTCCTAGCCTATTTAGGAAAGTAAAGTAGTGGTCACAGTGCGAAGGCTGCTCCTGCAATATTAAAATTCACTTGCTAGACAGACAACCCCCATCTTCCAGTCCTACCATCCAAAGTTAGGATTACCTGGAGCACCAAGTTTTGCCTTTACATGCCTGTTCAACATGGATTCAAGCATGAACACAGAAGTATACTACCTAGTCAAGGTAGTATACTTTTTATTTTTTAGAAGTACCTTTTTTTTTTTAGCAGTTACTACCTAATCAATTACAAAATCAGCACTTTTACAAGAGATCTGTTAGTATCAGGCATTCTCCCTACTAAAGAACAGCTGCATCTTTTATCATCATTTAAATAAAACAAGGCTTTGTTTAACAAATGAACTGGCATTTCTCACTTCAGTGAGATGAGAACTGACAACTGAGACAAAGCAAGGGCCCATCTAGCACAGTACTGTGTTTCCAGCTCAGTTTAGTACCAATTATTTCAGGAAGATGGAAAACACCTTTGTCTTCTTATCCCTGTCAATCAATCACAAGGACATTAACGTGTTCAACAAAAAAATTTCACAATCCCAGGCTACTAGTGTTTACTACTTCTGAAGTATGGTGTCTCTGACATTTTTATTTTAGAGAAACTTAAACCAGTCTAGTCATATATTATCTAATAATGCCTTTATATAAATATGATGTCTATATTAGGAAATACAAAGGATTTTTATATGACCCTATGGGATACCTATTAAAAATATAAAGTTATAATAATTGATGTTCTTATGTGACTAGTCCAATACCTTATGATTCTTCCGGCTTACTTGCCAAATTTAGACATGTGCAATAAGTGCATTACTTGTTGTTCTGTATGTTGAAAATAAAACTCTGAAAAGCCCCAGAAAGAATTTATGATTAAGCCACTTTGGACTCTAGGTGTCACTGTAATTCCAGAAACAGTAAGCACAGAAATGTATTTTACGTCCTCCTCCACCTTGCTTTGTTCTCTTAAAGCAAGCTTTATGTTATTCACATAGACAGTTTCCACAATTACCCTCCCATTACATTACATGTAATAACCCAAATATCTCATTTTGATTAAAATAATTTCTCCACTTCTGGAAACTGATCAAACACCTTACCTGCCTCATCGCTTCTCCAGTTGTTCCCCACTCTAAAATTCAAAAGTTTCTCTAGGTGGGTCCAAACTGGTTTTAATTAGCTGCTACAAGGAGTTACTTGAACCATGAAATGTTCTCCTCTTTGAACGTTCCAAGTATATTTTTTTTTGTTAAATGTAAAGCTTATGTACATATCTAACACTTTTTAAAATGCATCTTCTTGTAGAACAGCTGAATGAAAATACTGAAATTCTAAAATCTTTTGTACATCATGAAGACAGCCTGGCAGTTCATTGTCTATTTCTTTAGACTACAGTTAAATAGATCTTAAGTGGGAAAGCTTCAGTGGAATGACAGTAACTTTTGTATGTGCTCACTTGCATTGTCTAAAGAAGTTTATATGGGCCCATATCCATGATAGTGGTAAATAGACAAACTGAAGATGTTTTTAAGTTTCAGAACATATTAAGGAAACAAAACTGCCTTAAGCAAAGTGACTAATCTGCTACAAGTCACCACAACAAACAAAAGTATGACTTTGGTTTACAAGACATCTTACAACAGATTTCAACTTTCAACAAGTAGGAATGACCAAGTTCAACAATCACAGAACAAGTTTCCAGTCCCTTGGGATTTATAAATTTAACACTCTCTTCTCCTCCCAGTATACTGTAGGAGATTAATGACGAAGGATATAAGTGGACTTAGAGTAGTTTCTTCCTTAATTTATCTACCTCCTGTTGAGCCAGGAAGTTGCATGTGGTCTGTCATGTGGTTACCCAACAACATGCAGAAACATAGACGCTGGGTGCAATAGCGATTGCAAAACACAATGGCACATAGTTTTGAAGGCACACAAACAAAAAAGGCACCCAAATCATTTCTCAATTTCTGCTTCTAATATGCCAACGAAAGACTAGAAAGACACTGCTGTTATTTGGAATTTTAAAGAATTTTTAAAAGAGGAAGCCATATTGTTCCACATTATAGGAACAATAAGTTGTAACCAAATATGCTTGAAATACTGTACAGATGCGTAAGTCAACCCCCCATCTCATTTAAGACACACTACTTCTCAGAATAGTTACAAAATTATATGCTCAAATACTGTATTTTAGCAATTCTTCATCTGATGGCTTTATTTTTTATACTTAAAACTTCCCCCTGCTCCCCCCCCTCCAGAAAAACACCACTAGCATATAAAAAGAGGAAAATAGATTCGATTAGATGCATTTGTGATTGCCAGAATGTTATGGTTATTAGTTCCGTATTTTCTGGGCATACGTGCCTTTCCACAGACAAGTCTTAATACTCAAGGAGAGCCAGTGTCCAAACGATGACTGATGAACACCAGTCTTCTGGAATTCAAACCACTTTTATGGGTGCTTCAACCTGAATCCACAATCATAGGCATGTAAAAAACACATTTCTAGTGTCTTTCGAAGTTTAGTCATAAGGACAGATTCATTTGAAAATCTCTCATGTATTTCTTTAAAATGCAACTAGGGGAAATAATGGAGTTTTGGCACTGAATTTTACTTTTTTATTCAAGTTACTAATACAATATAAATAGTGGTCAATACGTTGCATTAGTAGGGGTCTATATTTTACTTTGAGAGCTCATGCTGGAAAGTGAACGTTATCTCCCTATGAACTTTTAGGTGCGGTTCATCTGGAACACTTGAAACAGTTTGACCTGCACTGCTCTATTCAGCATTACAGACAGTTCTGATGGTTTTGCTCAATGGTCGCTAGAGACGACTGGGGTTACCTATACGACAGCAGCAGAGGGCCCTAATCAGAGATCAGTTTTCCCATGTTGCTCCAACACAGCTCAAATGTGGCAACCTGCAGAACAGGATATGTGATTTCAATATTTGAGCTTTTTGCTGGTGCCAACAACGTATGTTGGGGAATTAAGAAAACAGCTTACATCATGTGGCCTATTTACCTACGATTTCATACTTCTGAACATGCACCGTACAAGTTATTTGTAAAAATCAAATACATACACGCCAATTATTTATTAAACATTTAATTTGGGATACTATAACCTACAAATGTTTTCTTTACCTGCCTAAATAGCTATTAATCTGTGTACTTACCATTTTCCACATATGGGTGAAATGGCAGAACTAATGCTAGAATGACTCTGCCTCTAGTTGGCTCCAGTACACTTCTAATATCTTTTAATACAGTCAGTGGTTGATCACAGCGATCCAGCAAATTCAAACAGCTGATAACATCATACTGAAATCCTGTGTTTTGCCATTCATTTATACCAAGCACCCTACAAAGGGAAGGAGAAAGAGATACAGTCTGTTAAACAAACAGAAACCGAGTTCAGAGAGAACCACTGAAGACAAAAATTCCCTATAGATGTGTTGATAGTGCAGGTAAGGTCAGCCACCTAGGCAATGAGAAGAGACAGACATGATCCTTCTGGTCTTTTGGAAAAGAAAACTAAATCAACAATGGGCATGCTTATATACCCAGCCATACAAACCTTTATATTGCCTTATAATCATCAGGCAATAAAGGAGACAAAAACCAAAACCCTAGGTATTAAAAAAAATGTGTTGTCCTAGAATAAAACTGAAGACACTTCTCAAGGAACAACAAAGCTGAAATATGATTAATGGCCTGCTGCATTTTATCCACTCTGATTTACCAGTGTGCAAACCTGGATTGCAAAGTAGCTGTTACGTTTCCACTCAAAGACAGGTGAAGAAAAGAAATCCACAGTTCCTTCATTCTTTGGGTTGAAGTCTAGGGATATAGTGCCTGAAATACTAACCACTACTCAACAAGACTGGATCTGCTGCCTGCAAGAATCTCCAGGACCTGCAACAAGTGCATGAACAAAGTTCTGAAAGTGCTGAGGTTTTTGTTACTAAATATTATTCAATCTTAACAGCAGGAGCTAAGCATAGCAAGAGTAAAAGAGTCTTTACACAGTCGTCTATACTGTGGGATTAGACAGACACAGATTATTGCAGTATCCCTATTACCAGGATTCAGTTTGCTTTCTCTGCAGTACCTGTGTCCTCCTCTTGCAATTTTGGACTGTTCATGTGAATTTCATCTTCCTGACTCCCTTGATTAAAGCAATCTATGCAAGCTATGAAGAAAGAGACTTCAAAATGGTTGTTGCCTATTTTGTCTTAACTGATAACAGGGAACATCTGCATAACAAAAGCACTAGTAACTGGGAACATCAGATGTGTTTGTTTTCCTGCTTTTGTACAGGTCAACCTTTTCCATAATGATCAAACAATAGAGGAATTGACTGAAAATACCGAACATTCATTAAGTATTACAAATAGATTGCTTTTCTGTCTGATATAAAGGATGTAGGAAGTATTCAGTACAATACCTGTATTTCTTCTTCTGAAGCTGCCATATCATAGTTTCAGACAATTCAGTGGCATAGATTTCTTCAAAGTGAGGACTCATGACTTTAGTGACTTCTCCATCCCCAGCCCCTAAATCGAGAAGTCTGTGGGATTTCCATTCTGGATTTATTTTAAGCAGTCTTTGAAATTGTTCTGGGGAAAACACGAACATTGAGCCCCTTCCCAGCAGACTGAAATGTAAAAATGAGAAATGACCAATTTTGTACAAACTTTGACAGGAAGGACAATGAAGTAATTTAGAATGTGCTTTGGCAGCAACCAGTCACACATAATAGTAGACAAGGTCACTGCTTAGATAAATTTTAAATCCAGTTCAACTTCCCTTGCACTTGTCAGAGATCAAACACATAGCCACATGCAGTTACAGTGGTTAAGACTTCAGGAGGAATTTGATTAGGTAAGGAAGAGCTCATGGGGCGCAGCTCAAGAAAATGATCACATTAAAAAAAAAAAAAAGGAGGGGGGAGAGAAAGAGAGGCAAAGATAAAGGCTGAACCTTATTTGTCACGTTTGCAGATTTGAATCTCTGCCACATACTTTAAAAAAAAGGATGAAATAGCAGAAGAAGTAAAATGGCTGCAGACACAGAAGTATGCACAATGAATGAGGAATAGGACGTGGAACTAGGAGGGAAGCCAGGGAACAGATTTAAAGAAAGGATGGGGGTAACACTGCTGGAGTGGCAAAAGAGATTTTTTTAACTGTATGTTACAATGGCTTGTGCTGCTATCTGCAGATCCTGCATTCAACATGAAGAACTGTGGAATAGAAAATAGGCAACTCATTAAGGAATTGGGTAGAGGTGACAGCTGGATTCCTTATGGATCAAGTCAATGCCATACCCGCCCGTAACTGTTTGAAGACTACATAGTGACAGATTTCAGCTGTCATAGCAGAATTCAGAAGATGAAAGAGTTTGGAAAACAAGCAGACGAAAAAGAACTGGTCAGTAATAGACTGAAGGTAGATAAATACTATTCTTTAAACTAATGTTGGATAGCAGGTTAAACTTAAAAGACAATGAACAGAAATCTTTTATGTTCAAGGGGGAAAAAAAGGTAAACAAAGATAAAAAGAATCAAAGAATAAAAAAAAGTGAAAAAGAGGTGGCCTAGGAAAGACTGACTGTACTAAAACCAACCAAACAAAAAGGATAGAGTATACAAAGTCATATAGAAGAAACTAAAGCAGGCTATTAAATGTATAAAAATAAACAGAATACAGCCAATTTAAGTATAGCCCCCTTGCAGCACACTTGTGTCAGTCCACACTGTATAATTGGCTCATAGCTATTATTCCCAACAGCACTATGAGGTGTTATTCAAAGCACTGGAGAGCCTTTGAAAAAAAATGGAAGTGAAAGGGAGAAGAGGAGACCAAAGGAACCTTTATATAAAGCTACAAGTAACTAAGAACACCACAGGGAAGCTCATAAAGTCATCTGGTTAGAAAATAAGGAAAAAGATTATTTTTCTAGCCTTAGTAGACAGCTACTATCCTCATACGAGACTGTGCAGAAGTATGTAGTAGGTGCAGAGGTGGGGTTGGTGGAAAAATCAGGTAAATGTAACAAAATGCACTCTTCATAAGGTCAAAACTGATAAGCTGTTGAACATATGTCTGAATGGGATGACATAAGCACAAAAAGGCACTGACTTTTTTTGAAAAAATACTAAAGCACCCATGAACAGCTAAATTCCCCTGCAGCCACAGAAGAGACTGATGCAATAAGATAAGGATAATACTGTTTTATAAACGTCTCTTTTCCTGCCTTCCTGATGTTTCATCAGTCAAACACACTACATCAGCAGTTACCTGTTGAAGTACAGCTTACACACAAATTGAGGTGAAATTAAGTTTTAAATAAGAGAAAGGACAGAATTTGTTTCTGTCAGAAACATTATTCAGGACAGAATAATGTTTGACATTAGCATTGCCAGACACAACACTCCACGAACTTCTGCACCGTTTAGAAATCAGCCTAGGTTTGCAGTGGGTATGCACACACCCTCTACTAGAAAAAGTTTTAGATGCAATACAGAACTGACTGGATACAGCTACCTGCAACAAGGACAATCACAACAGTAACTGATATAGATATAGCAGCAGGTAAAGTAACGGGCAAGGGGAGGGGGGGATGAAAGCAGAGGGAAGAGGGATACATTGTCTAACACAAAGAGAACACTCTCTTATTCAGAAGGCAATTAATACAAGTAATGGTTATAAAATACAATTAGAGTCCTCTGACTATCTCTTATTAATTGCTATTACCTCCCATGTCCCCTGCCCATACTGGAAATGGTGTTCTTCAATTAAGAGGGTTGGGTGTGAAGAGCGCAGTAGGGCATTTCAGATCTGTTAGACTGGCAAAAAGAAAACTAAAAATTTAAGAAAAGCTGACAGCTCAAGGGGTAGGACTGAACACTTGAAAACTCTAAATCCATACTGTGTTAGTTGACCTAAGATTGTTTTTTCACTTACCCATTGATAGATGTTCTAGACATAAAGAGGCTAAAAATTGAGGACACAAAAGAGTGATAGAGCTGGATAAACAGCCAGCCTGATTTCTCAATGCTGTTGTTTAAGAAGATCTGTGTTCCTTGGTCAAGGTAACTCTGGACAAAAATAGGCTGAAGGGATTCAGACAACTGTTCTGTGTTGCAGACATACCACTAGAGAAAGAGATAAAGGATCATTAAAAAGTTCAGCAATATAAAACCAGAAGTAGTTAAAAAAAATTGAATACACAGAAGGCTATTATCAATTTCTGTAAATATAAAAATTTAGTTTTTCCTACCGACTTTTCAACAAGCTTCAGGATTAATTTAACTTAGATTTGAATTGTAATCAAGTGAGGACCGATTACTTCCTAAGAAGTAATGCTTTTAATTTTTGTCTTAATCATTACCCTGTACTTTGAAGAATTTTACAAAGTAACTTCCCTAGAAAGCAAGTGTGTACCAGTACAAGCAGGTCCGCAAGTCTTTTGAAACAATTACATCCATGAAGCTGCCTCCCAACATCTTTACTAAACAAAGGAGCAGGTTCCCACATCTAGAAGTCATCACTATCAGCTGAAAGGCAGTTCTATACTTTTATATTACTAAAATAAAAAGCCCAAGCTAAAATGGGCCAATAATTCCTTTCGCCTTGTGTTACCTGGTAAAAGCCACTCCTGTACAAACTAAACTAACTCTGATATGCAAGCTATTGTTCAATTAATTGTGAAGAAAAAGGATGCTACTTTTTGATATCAAATCTAGCTGGAAAAGTAATAAACCATACAATATCCTAATATTTTACTATCCACGTGTAAGGCATATCTAAACTCCTTCTTTAACACCTGCTTTACATTATTTTAAATGCAAAACTTGTGCAAAACAAGGCAAACATATAGAAATTCTGAAATTTTAGGACCCTCATGGCCAGCTTCTGCACCTCCAGCAAATGCCTCTAATGCTGCAGCATTCTGGAATGTCAGCACTGATAATAAAATTCAAAAGGTTGTTCATTGCTAGGTTGCAACGCCAAGCTAAAAAGCCCCTCCACTCAATATGCAGAAGTTACAAAAAAAGTTTTAAATGGAGCATTAAGAACATCACTATTATTTTTCACTCTCCTACGCTTATGCAGTTATTGTCAGCCCTTCTCATAGAATCTCTAATGCCATTGTGTCTGTTTTCTAATATCAAGAATTATTCCCTACAGCTAACACTCTCTTATCTCCCCCTTAGATCTTGCAGTAATGTTCCATAATCTGGCTGCATGTGTTTATTGTGCAGATAGGGAGTTATAAGTATCTTAAAGAGAAACGGTGAGTTTTAACAGACTCTTGTAAAAATGCGTGTAGAAGGACAGCAAATGGTGAGCTGGGGTAACTCCCCAACGATTTAACACCTAAGATTGTGTCTACAGCCATACTATGCAAAATGTATGCTCATATCCTGATCCCTTCACATTGCTGTACCTTGTTGGGAGAGGAACAGTCACTTAACACTTGTTTACACAGTGTTCAGCACAATGGGACTTCCAGTCACTACTGTAATACAAATAATAACAGGACAGGATTCTTATTCCAGTGTCCTGCTGCTTCACAATAATAGTGCCAGCAAGCAGAGGGGAGTAGACAGCTGCACCAAGATCATTATGCCAGATTCATAAACAGGGGCTCCATCAAACACTGACCCAAAGTAGCAACGGATGTCAAGACCCTTCAGCCAAGGAGCGAACATATGCCTGCTCAGGTTTACTTTGAAAACCACTTCCATAATGGGGACATTTCTGGCAGAATCAGGCTCTCAACTGTACTTTCAAACACACTTGTAGGTAGCACAAATAAGTGATCCTTTCCTCTAAAAACCAGATTTTGAGCAAGTCTGTACCACATGATGGAGCCTGGCACAGGGATCCCCGAGACCGCTGATTTACCAGTTTAGGTCTTTTCTCACTGCAGCACAGTGCTACTTGAATGAATCAGCATAGACCAGTGATTCCCAAAAGGAATCCTTAGCAAGTTGTGAAAAACCACTAAAGCAGCAGCCTGTGTACTTTGTCCATCCATCTTCAGAAGCCAATTTCAAGAGCCTGGCAGAAGCAAACAATCCCCTGGAGCTGAGGAGCAGGCTGGGATATGCGTCAGGTACATTCACGAGGCTGCTGCCCAGCTACACTGGACAGGTTTGGAGTGGCTCAGGTGATCTGCCTTGTGTTGCCATTTTCAGTCCAGAAGAAAATGTATCCAACTATCAAAGCTTTGGGAAACACAGGTTTTGTTCCATAAGCGATATGACTACATATGTGCTGTACCTGAGCTCATAAACCTTGGTTCTGCACTGAACTCTGTCACTTGTAGTTCCAGGATCTGACCATGGAAACCAACAGACCCACAATTCTTGTCTTTAAGACTTCTAAATATTGATATATATTGACATCACCATTGGCAGGACGATGATGGTGACAACTGTGAAAAGAGAAGCTTGTTTCCAGAAATTAGGCGTTGTTTACAGATCTCCTCTAATTTCTTCTTCATGGTTAATCTTGCCAATAAGGTTATTGGCAACTACCTATATAACACTAGTGAATAATAGAAATGATAGCAAACTATAAGAAGAAAAAGAAGAAAAAGCAACACAGGAAAAAAACAATCCAAATTTCAAATAACAAAAGTGGTGAAAGACAGCTTAATTATGGAACTATTTCCTCAGAACAGACTGCTTTTGTTTTCCTCCTTGTACAATATATGAAGAGCCCTTTTCAGGCCACTAGTTTCATGACAGAAAGTGTATCAATCTCTTAGAGCACAGTAGTAGAAAAACTACAGCACAGAAATCTGAAAAGATATGTTAAGACCTTTGTTATAATAAAAATTATTATTATTGACAACTCTTGCCTAATATTAGTGAAAGGAAGAAAATGTTCTTTTAGCTAACTTATGTAAAACTAATGAAGTCAGTAAAACTGCAGAGAGTGAAAGCGCCCGGGGCCTCAACATGCAATCCTTACTTATGAGTAAACCCACAAACTCAGTAATCATAAATCTTACTAAACTTACTAAATAATCAATACTTTAGGTTTAAAATCTAGATCCAATAAATTAGAAATGGAGAGTATCCACTGCAGACCATCTACCTGTGAATGACAAAACACATTTCCTTGGTTGACTTGTCTTTCTAGTACAGTTTTTAACACCACAAAAGACTTTCAGATTTTCTTTGTTCACCAGAAGGAAATTATTTCTGTAAATCTAAATTCTGCTCCTCTTTGTCACCCTACTTATGTACTGAATGATCCAAACAGCAGACCATATTCATTAAACCCCAGTAATACATTCACTCAGTAGCAAGATTCTGGGCGTCAGCGCCCACCCAGAGCACTCCAGTAATGGATCAGTTTGAAGAATTATGATGCATAATTATGTTCTTCCTTTGTACAGCAGTCCTCAAGTATTTATGCCACGGCTTCTTCACTAGGTCAGCTCTGTATATTTTACTTAGAATAACTCAGTATCTTCCTTCAGCACTAAGAGTTTTTATTAGCCCTTCTGAACTCCTGTCAGATTTTCAGTAGCATTTTGGTGAAATGTAGTGCAGATCCGAACGTATTCCAAATGCAATCATATCACATAACCGCTGCATAGCAAGGGTATAGTCCCTAACTTCTCCACAAAGTACTGATCCACGTGCCTACACTGCCCAAATATAGCACTAACCTTTTATTGCAGTCAAACCACATTGCAAACTCATTTCTAGTTTGCCATCTACTGCTGTTCCAAGGCCTCTGTGAGCTTCGCGGTTTCCCAGTTGCTCACTTTTTTTATTTTCCTCTAGATACACCAATATTAATTAAAACAACTCTGTGATTACACACCCACCCCATTCACCACCACCTGCAAACTTCATTCAAGCGGCGTTTACTCACAGCTCACCAGGAAAAACGCCAAGACGGAGGTTTAAATCTCTTAGGAGCGGCTCTGACACCCAGCCCGATGCATTATCGGTCTCGGGACATCGCGCTGGCTCCCTATCCCGACGTTACCGCCAGACTCGCTCCGACGACCCTCCCGGGGCGAACACCCAAGCCCGCGGCACGCTTCGCCGGCACCCAGCCCCGACGACGTTCCCCCTGCGGCTCCTCAGCCCCAGTACCTCACCTTACCTCCCCAGCGGGCTCCCGGGCGCATTTCACACGGAGGGCACACGTCAACTTTCTCACCGGGAGGACCGAGATGCTCCCTCTCTTTGTCTGGCGGTGCCCGGCCCGGTGCCCCCCTCAGCCCGCACCAGG